AGATTCTCCCTGGACCCTTATGGTGAATTGCCTCTCAGCTTTCTTAAAATTGCCAAAGGCAACGTCGTAGATCTGTGTCAAAAAGGGGATCCCTTGCAGGGATGGTATTGCACACAAATCAGCGTCAAGGGCCTTTGTCCAGGGTCCTTACTTACGCGTGCTTTTTTGTCTAATGAATTCCCCTGAAAAGACTCTGTGAAAGAACCTGGACCAAACCCATGTGCTAGCGAGGTCGCCACTTCATTTGCCAGAACCCGTGGGTGATTTGGCACCCAAATCCCACCTTCATGCAGGAAGAAGGTGGGTCAGCAAGAAAATGGGAACCATTCAGATGTTCAAACTCTGACCCTGCTAGAATTTGAAAGGGATTGGAGACCGTTCTGGTTGAGTCAGTCAAGCCAAAACGGGGCAACGACTGCCCTCTGAAAAAGAAGGATTTCAACACCACCAAACGACCAAAGGCTGTTCACCAAACCACCAAACCACCAAACCATCAAACCAAAATACCAAACCATCACAAATACTAATCCATCAAACCATCAATTCAACCATATGATTGCTCTTATGGATTTCACACGCTGCCAACTTCGGAACTTCGCCTGGGGCCAAAGCCCCGCACTCCTCGAAGCGACAGAAATCCTAAGCTGACCGGGCGGCCGGTCGCGGCAGGCGACCAGGGACTTGTTTTGTTCTAGGAGATTCTTTGATGTACCCAAAACCAACACCAATGGCAGTAAAACCCGGAGTACCAAGCACCTATTCCACGCACTTACGGATATTCCAGCAACATTAGGCTAGATCGTTGCGAGGAAAGACAGCTAAACGCAAGTCCTGAGTGGATCTGGCTAGTGTTGAATCTTTCCAAATTGACAAGTCTAAGTAGGCATGCAGCATGTCAGCATGTCTCTAGATCATGTCACCATGGCCTGTAGTCGATTGGTAAAGCATTACCAATCCACCGTACCGTCGAAACACTAAAGCTGGCAATGACATCCACATCCAAGAAGCACAATAGAGATTGTGCCAGATATCAATCACCTATATGCAAGCAACCAGCTAAATGGATAGTCCAGCGCTTTCATTTTGAGTTGTTGTTTGTTTTGCCGGAGATTGGTCATATCCACTGTTTGAGAAACAAGACAAATCATGCCGACGAAGAAACCACAGCTGATAACACGATCATCAGTTTGGTGTAAATTGATTTTGACGATACCAGTAGACAGCAGACTGCATCGTTCAGTTCAATCTGGTTCGCCCTTGCAAGCGCACAAACTTAGGGGTAATACTTACTGAATCTTGCGAGCCAAGCGCAAAACTGTCCAACAAAAAATATTGAAGCGGAGGTAACGGAGGTATGACCAGAACATGCTACCAAGGCATGGGAAAAAGCCTTCCCTGCCAGTTGGCTGTCTGTAACTGTAACCTGCTTCGCCTGGGCAATACAAACATTGGTGATCCCCACAATTCATGGCACGTGGCGAAAGGCCAGCCTCAACCGCACGAATCCATGAAAAGAACCTTCAAGGGCGCCTCTGTACATCGCCCTGAGAGCGCGCTAAACTTCCCAGACCTATTCCCTGGGATTTGTGGAAGGTCAGGATGCGCCAAGTTGCCACCACCGGTGCCTTGCAAGGTACCAATGGCTCGCAGCCGACGATGATGGCCTGCGATAGATTGTAGCACCCTCACACCCGCCACCAAATTGGTAAATCCACGAAAGGATAGTGAGTCATAGCTGCCATCACCCTCTTCGAATCAAAGTGCTTTAATTGGTAGGCCTCTGTTCTGATCCCTGCGAACGTAACAATTGAACTCCGGTATTGAAGAACAGGCGGCTTGGTAGGGCACGCATGCCCTGGCAAAGGTATGAGGTATGGCACAAGCGCTGTGCCCAAACTGCAACGCATGACATGCGGCCTCCTTCCATAGCCCTGCCGTTTGCCCAACCGCCGGCCCTTGACTCGCGCGCGGCCTCTGCACGGCACTCATCGCCCATGCCAACGCAGCGCCGAGCAGGCATGCCCACGAAGCCCTCGCGACAAGTGTAGGTGTCGCCCTGCACCACCTCGCACTTGAGGGGCGCCAAGTGTTGCAATCTTTGCAGGTGTCTTGATGACCATTGTCCCCTGCCCAAGACTGTCTTCTTCAGGTTAGTGGGGACAAAACCTTTTCCCAAGAAAGTTGAAGGTTAAGTATCCACGCCACCAGCATTCAAGTCACCAGCTGCCAAGCTCCCTGCCTTACCCTGTCAATCACTCACTTCCATTCAGGACGCGCACAATTGGGGTGTTCCGGAAGACAGCCAAACAAATTGGTGCCATGAACACATGCAGCGAATCTGGTTAATGAACACAGGCTCAGGCCCGCTGCCATGAGAGCCTCCCAATCTACGACCCAACGGGCTCTTGAAAGCAACGAGGCTCCCAACCAAAGCCGAGGCGATCGCCCCATCGCAGGCATACTTGTTTAAGGGTAGTTTCTGAAGTTTCACTACTTGTCCACCAGAGAAGGTCAAATACCCATGAAGGCGCCGACTTGTCCCATGCAACTCGGGGTATAGAAGACACAGCCTGCGCAAAGCATCCAAAACAGAACTGATGCACCAGCGGTAAGGTGTCAGTTTCTCAGCTGAAGCCGAGAATCCCAGTTGAACTCGTCAGCGATGCTCTCGTTGGTGATGTTCGGGTCGGGGCAGGACGGAATACGGCACTGGTCCACAGCGGCATCCCAGTGGAGCCCGTCATTGACCTGAACCCATGCCACACATTTCCACAGCCATTCCCAAATCCTTGACCTGGGCTCCGAAACTTGGTGCAAAGTAGCTTCGTAAATGTAGGCTGTTTGCAACTCTTGCATGGAGCCTCGGGGATTTGGGGTCCGCATGCAAGTCATGACACATTAAGAAAGCGTGCCGTTCCACGGGTCAGCTGCAAGCTTCAGTCTGGGGCAAGTAAGGCAGCGAAACAATGCCACGGTTCATCCATTATTTTACTTTTTACATTCTGCACCCAGCCTCCACATGCAGCGTCCTTCTCAAAGCGATTCAATATGATATGAATACTCCCATACGTTCGATCCAGCTCCAACCACTCTGACCCATGACATCATGCAGAAGGGAATTCAGTTGTCAAGTGGGCCACAAGTACGAATCCCCAAGCCAACTTTGCATCTCGCGCTAGCAAGACTGGGAATGCCCCAAAATGCACAGCTCAATGGAACCTCGCTGCATCGACCTTTCCCCCTAGGTTGGCCACCGCAACTATTCAAACATGTCCCAGCAGTAGCAATTATTCAGTCGCCCTCTTTGCGGTCTCCCTTTCAAGGCGGCAATTGTTTGGTGTTCAAACATCTCTTGCCCAACTCTACCTTCCTAAACAAAATGGCTGGGTGACATGTTGTTTCTCTTGTTTATGTGTGTATGTGTATATATAATATGTATTTAGTGGGTCTACACAAATTGAACAATTACCCGTCCCTTTTGGCTTCCTTTTGGAAAACCGACCACCAGGGTTTCTCCGAGGACGCGTCATAACGGTAGGCAATTGTGCTCCGGAGAAGAAGAAGAAAAACAAAAAGCAAGGAGCCACCCCAACTGTTCTACCGATTTCCACCCTTGTGGTTTGGTCATCGCTTTGAGGCTCGAAGGCTATGGTTGTGTTTCTGCACGTCACCCCAGTTCTTTTCAGAGGAATCTTCTGGGGCCACCTGAGGTTTGATTGAACAACCTGGCTTTCTGTGGTAAGCACCAGCTGTCAGAGTCAGGAGTTCATAGAGTATCCCTGACTAAAGGACACAGGGGAATAAAGGTAGGGGGTGCCGGAGTCCAACTGGTTGCAACCAACAGTGTTCTTGTTGAAGCCGCTGACTAACAATGAACAGAACCAAACAACTCAACAATACCAATAAGCAAAGTGAAAGACTAAACAAATCGGCAACCTAAAGGACTAAGATTGAACTTTATAACACACTGAACAACTGAGCAAACTAAACAACTCAAAACCAAACACACTAAAACAAACCAAAGCACTGAACCACTAAACAAAAGCGAAACACTCAATATTGAAACTAAAAAAAACAAACTAAACAACGTGGGGAAAAACCAAACTAACAACAACAAACAGCAACTAACACACCAAACAACTGGAAAACAACAACAGCTCCACAACCATGGTTGCCTTTCCGAACATTGGGCGGCTGCTCGTGCCTCCGTGTTCAGCTCAGGGCAGCTGGCGTTGAAGTCGGGGCCCAAATAGGGGGAGCGGCAGCGGATGGTGCAGGACTCACCCCTGCCGTTGGATGAAACCCCAAGTGGCCATGGGGCATCCGATCCAATCGGAAGTTGGGCCCCGAAACAGAAATCAAACTCGACTCCAGTTGTATAGATCCTTAGGGAGTTAGGCTCGGAGGAATAAAGGCAAAGAAGCCCTCGAGGTGCATTGTGGAGCCCACAAGCTAACGGGAGTGAAGTGCCAAATTTGCCAAACAATGAAATGCTTTGTTCATGGACCCATTGCGTGTCTCTCAGGTGCTTTCAGGGGACCCCAGACAATGAAAAGCCACAAAACAGTCGGCTCCATGAGCTACAAATGATTCGTGTGGCAGTTTCGCACTTGGGTTCACATGTTTGGAGCTGACATTTCATCGTTGCAGGTAGCACATGCCGCTTGCACATGTTTCTGCGTTGAGTCCACCAATACCTATTTGGGATTCCCAAACTTTGCGAAATCTGAAACTACGACACTTTGTGGGTGGCAAATCGAGGTGGGCGGAGTCTCACATTGCAAGAAGTCGTGGGTCCGCTAACTCTACCGCCAGACTTTCAACCTGGGCCCTTGGCTCTAATTCCTAACGAAATGGTCCTTAAACGAACAAAGCCTCTGAGGGCCCAACTTGTAACATGTTCATCCACAGCTCCTAAGGTGCTTCCTTAACATGAGCCCACCAACAAAAATATCACATTTGAACTGCCTTAAAGGTCCTATTCCAATCGCAGGACCTTGTCATAGCGCTGCCCCGATGAGCAGGTGCCTGGGCACCGAGATGCAGTCGCTCATGTCGTAGTGGCAGGGATCGAAGTCTCCTGGTGACCAAATGGTGATTGAGTTTTTCAGGGCCAATCCCCTCCCGGTCCCTTCCTTGCCACAGTAATCCCTTCTTTGCAAGCCCAAATGCAGCCCAAACAGCCCACCACACTGAAAAATTAATGAAAAAAAAACACGAAAAACGAAAACCCGCGCGCATCTCCGCACTCAGCATGGCTCAGGTTTTCCCCGGTCCAGGGCCGCAGGACACCAGCTCGCGGCAGCCCTCCAACTGGATCTCCGTGTCGCAGACTTTGCCAGGCCCTCCCAGCTCCGAGGGTTTGGCGGTTTGGCCGGACCCGGTGCCGCGTGCGGCCGGGAAAACCGGAGAATTGGATTTGACAGGTTGGGAACGCGCTGGGAAAATGGGAATAAGGAAAATGATGTAGCTCGTGTCGCATGCACATGCTTGATTAAACGCAAAGTTGTATACCTAGAAGTTCCTGCGGCGGAAATTTCTGCCGCAACGCATTGCAGCGGAAATTCCCGCCGCATTCCAGAAAATCAGCCGCAAACCCCAAAAAACACCGCAACCAAAACAAAAACGCCGCAACACCGGTTGTTTTCCGGGAATTTCCGCCGCATTCCCGCCGATGTCCGCCGCATTCCCGCCGATTTCCGCCGCAAATCGGGGGTGAAAAAAAACTGAAAATAATTTCTGCCGCAATTTTAAGAAAACACCGCAAATCAGGAAGAAATGCCGCAAATCCAAAAAGGCGCCTTTTTTGATTTGCGGCAGAAATTTCTGCCGCAACGAATCTCTAGGTATGTCTTATGTCTTTTCTGCAAAAGGAGACGAGTCATTCGCTTGGAGTGGGGACAAACAAAGCGCCAAGGGTTTGAAGCGTACCAGCTGAAATCATGGGTGTCACTCAGCCCCCAGACGATACATCCTATCTTGGCCTTTGGGCTCTCCTTAGTCGCACCTCCGGAAACAGACCCTAGCCGCCAAACCGCTGAGAAATCTAGAGGGTGACTCAGTTTTTGGCCCTTAACCTGTTTTGGGCCCAGCCAGGGACAAATTTACAGGTCCCAAAACACCCGGGTTGGGTTTTCAGGACCTGTTTTCGGCTCGGCGTGGCTCCGCGCCTGAGGGAACACACCCGACCTGAGCCTCCCCTGTGTAGCCGTCTGCGCATTCCCAGGTGCGCGCCAGAGCTCGGTAGCCTGGCCGAAGCATAGGTTGACTGCTTGGTGCTGCAGGGATATGGAATTTAATTGATGTATGGGGCATATGGATGGAAAGTACCATGATTGCTATGCACCCTACTCATAACCCCAGCGGCAGTAATCTCATGTTACATCAGCAGGGTTGCCAACAATGTCCAATTTGGGCCCTCTGTCAGCAATCATGGAAGCTGACGCGAAAGGGAGCAGGTTGGAAGACTACACGGCTCAGGCCTCATTCCCTTGAATCCAGGTACCGATCCAATCATATGCGCAATTCTGGGAAATGTGTTGATAGTGGTCCTTGATTGCCGGTTAGAGAGTTTTATCGGATTGTTGCCCTGTGTCCGTAGCCAAATCCTAATAAAATCGGGTTTGGTCTTTGTGAGGAGCCAGGTGGAACACGGGAAAAGGGAGTGCAACTGCACACCGAGGGAAACATAGAGGTCCTTTGCGAATTGCTGTCATTGTTATATAACTTCAGACACCGTGAGTGAGGTGTCCCTCTTGCGGCACACCGGGAAGTTGCTCAGGATACATTCAACCGTACATTGAATCACAAAGACACACACACACACACACACTTTGTGTGCAGAACTATCGTATATGGCCATGGGTCAAAATCCCGTACCCCCAGTGAACAACCCAATCCCCCCAAAAATCGACTAAAACGGGTGGTGCACCTACCCCAAAATGGTACCATTGGTGTTGACCCACAGCCATTTCCAGCTTTCACCTCATAGGGCTCCTGTGCGTCTCCGTGCAGTTTACAGATTCTTCTTCGGAGCTCCTGGCGCGCCTGGAGGCACGAAGTCGCACTCAGTGAGACAGTCCGGCATCTTTCCGAGCAAGGGCTGATCGGGGTTGGTGTTGCCTGGCAGAATGCTCCCAAGAAGTTTGTGAAGGGAACGCGTCCCAAGGACTGTGGACTGTGGAAATCCTTCCGCTGCTGACCATCCATGTTCACCCGTGCAATGGTCTAAACACCTTCAGTGGCTCAGGGCAGTGCTCCATACTGGCTACAGGCTGATTGAACCTCCGAAGTCTGAAAAAGTGCCATGTACTGTGAGACTGGTCTCGCCCACAGTGAAACTCATTGAACCCACGGGCTTCCGGTAGACTTTTAGCACACAAGAAGAACATCTGGGTCAGCCCACCCGCAACCCGATGCACAGGGACGGCACTATGTACCAGTAATCAAGGAGGTGGTCAGTACACAGCAACATGCGGTGTGATTGAAAGATAGTTTATGTTCTGTTGCTCACTTTGTGGCGTCTGATTTGCGCGTTCAGTTCGGCCACGATTTCTGGGATGACTTGGGGAGAACGCGAAGACCCCTGATCAAGCATGCCAGACGTCACCTTTTTGCATTTGATCATGCGTTTACGTCATTCAACCTTCTGCCAACCCTTCCGCAAACTGCACGGGTAGCTTTTGCAAAGCGTTTTGTCAGAAAACGAAACGCACAACCAACCAACCAACCAACCAACCAACCAACCAACCAAGCAAGCAAGCAAGCAAGAAAGCAAGCAAGCAAGCAAGCCAGCCAGCCAGCCAGCCAGCCAGCCAGCAGCCAGCCGGCTAGCCAACGCAGCATCACACACCTGAACAACAGAACACAAACAAGCAGCAAGCAACGGACAACAGCACCACACAACAGCTTCAAACAACCTTCAACAAACTAGCAAACAACTAAGCACACCAAACACAACACGAAACAACGCAAACCACTCAAAATCAAGCAACATTAAACACAACAAATACACGCTAAACAAAACAACACAAACAAAACAACGATAATAGAACTGTTGACATATGAATGAACCGCGAGGTATTAATAGGGGGGATCCCTGGGCTCAGTGGAGAATCATCACTTTTGGAGGGGAACACCCCCTACGAACAAACTGGGGTTGGTTACTAACATGGTCCTTCCCAAAAAGTGACAAAAGTTCAGAAATGCAAATGGTGTCAGTGTTGGGAAGGGTTCAGGAATCCATAAAACCCGGAAGTGGCAACAATCCAACAACGAACTCACACCAATGGGTATTTTTCTCATCTTGGCCCACAGCTGGGTCTAGAAACTCGCACATGAATCGCCGAAATACCCCAACCCACTGCATCCGGCTACCATTCATCATAGGCCAAGAGAAACCAACATGTAAAAGCATGTACAGGTTGCCTTGCAAAAGTAACTTGTGCGTCCAGCACTGGGCAAAAGAGATCCGAAGAATCCCTCCCACCACCGCACCACCTCCCCCGGGTTTCCTCCAAACAAAACCTCACCTCACCTCACCCAACCCCACCCCACCCCACCCAACCCCACCCCACACCACACCACTCGACCACCTCGCTGAAACCGTTTGGGCGACCATCGGTCTGGGTCTCCGCGCCGACTGGGCAGCTCAGCTCCGAGGGCTCGCCCGTGCAGGGCGCGTTGCAGGCCACGCGGCAGCTGCGCCCGGGCACCACTTGGGCACCTCAGGCGCAATGGCCGCGGGTGAAAAATGACCCCAAAATCGCCCAAATTCCGCCTGGTAAATGGAAACATGGACTAAAATCTGCGGTCTGGTTGCTTAATGTGGCTTTGACCCAACTCTAGCCCCACGGGGGAAACAAGGGGGTATAAAATGTTACACGTTGAATCTGTAGAGGCTATATGGGTATGAATTCTGATTAGGGACCACTTGGGTGTACACCGTTCAAGTGTGAACCAGTTGAGGTGTTTCCCATTCAATTTCACTGCCACCTCGCCAATTCATTCACCGATTCGAAGATTGGGCCCCGCGTGGCTCGACACCGAAGAGGACCGGTCATGGACCCTTTCGTCCACCAACCACTGAATAGGGTACCATAACGGTTCAAACAAATAGAACCACGTGCGAGAAATGGGCACAAGGGGTTGAGCAAACTGGTCATGAGCCAACGGCGCTGTGAGTTGTGCCAAACTAAATGGGCGCAGCATCACTTGGGCCACGGGCCCAAACGATGATGTTTGAGCATAACCTCAACAGGTCATTTATTGATTTGCTCATACGTTGCAGCAAGCCAGTAGGCAGGTTGACTTGTTGGCTTCCTGACTATTGGGCGGACGGTTTCTAGCAGGTTTTCCGATGAGATGTTGTTGCCAAGGGCAAGGCGCACTTCCCTGCAAACAGCATCAAACAGCCATACA